CCCGCGCTGCCCTTGCTGCTGATTCAGCCTCGTCGATGCAACGTAGTTCGCCTGCACAAGAAGCTATGTGGGCTGTTCGGCCTCCTGCATCGCCTCATCTTGAAGAATGTAGCTGGTGATGGAGTCCTCGTCGAGGGACTCACGCGTGCCGGGCACCATCATCATCCTCTTCATGAGATTGTAGCTGCACGGCAAGCCCTTGACGATGTGGGTTATGTAGGACGCCGTCGAGTATTCGGCGCCCGCCATTCGCATCTCAGCCAGGATCCGTCGAGCACGGTTGCAGTAATCCATCGCCGACTCCTGCTCGCCCATCCGAATGTGAGTCATCTTCTCCTCTAGCTGTCCGATGTACAGGTCGTCCCTGACCTGGTACGTCGATATGATGAAGCCCCATGCCTGGTGACCAGCATCCAGTCGCTCTCGACAGCTCCTGAGCGCCAGCTGCACCACCGGCGAGCAGCACCTCGAGATGACCATGAAGGTGAGCAGGTGAGCAGAACGAAACTCCCCGTGCAGCCCGACATCCTCCTCGGGCGGAATTGGCACGGTGCCGTCGGCGAAGCCCTTCAGCCCGGCGACCTCCAGCTGAGGTACGATCGACTCCCTCCAGGTGATGAGGTCCGGTCGACCGAGTAGTGGAGCGATGGTGATTCGATCCGGCGAAAACTTGAAGTAGCCATACGCCGGTGCAATCCTGCCCGCCGTTACATGCGTCGTCGCCGAGAGCCCGCCACCACTTCGTAGAGGAGAGCGACGTTGAACATCGACGTCGGCATGCGAGCTGCCTACAGCCGCCATCGACCGCTGCACTCGCGCCTGGATTCCGTCGACACCACCGTCGACCTTGATCACTCCTCTTTGCCTCGTGCCTTCGCTGCCGCTGACTCGTGCACCACTGTCGACCTCGTCATCGACGCCACCTTCGTTGCGCACCGGTCGAGGAGAAGTAGGACGGGAAGGGTGTTCCGTCGCCCACTGCGACCGGATGCCCAACTCGGCGATCACCAAGGGGATCGTCCCGTACTCGCCATCCACGTGGCGTCTCCTCGCGTCAGCCAAACGTGCATCCAAGGTGTCCGTTACACCCGCATCAACCACGGGGTCGACCATGGCGACTATCGCTGCTGCCGGCCTACGAAGGACTTAGTAAGTGCAGAAGTCGGCTCCTATCTGAAGGTCGCGTGTTCGATCCACGCTCACCGCACCATGCGGAGATACACTCTACAGCGGTAGTGAGATGGACTACAGGGTTGGCACGAACTACTAGAGGTGATCGTAGCTTTGCTTGGTTCCTTAGTGCTTGCACATTCACAGGAGAAATTGGCAAGAGTTTCCACTAGCAAAGTTGAGAATTCCAAAATAGTCCAAGAAGCAATAACAACAATGACTACATCAGGCACCTAGCAACCTTGCAGCTAGCCTGGTCGACCGCCAGCGCAGCTCGGTCGACCGCCTGCCAGCATTGCGTAGAGGAGCCGCGCCATCACTGCAGAAGGGCGACCTGCCAACAAAGCAGGTCGACGGCGTGCCCCGTAGAACACAGCAGTGCGCGCGCTCGCAGGTGTGCGCAGACGATTGGCCCGACTTGCCTCGTTGGGCATCCGTCGGCAGTTGTCTGCGCCTGACGAGCCACATCGACTTCGGGATACCACTCCGAAGTCGCCTGCGCCATCGCGATCTCGACGACGTTCGCGAGCCTTCGCAGAACTCGTCGAGCAGGTTACCCGGTCGACCTGGTCGACCCCTGGTGCTCTGGTCGACCCCCAGGTGCCTCCGGTCGACCACTGGATCCCTCTGGTCGACCACCAGGCGCTCCTGGTCGACCACAACTCCCGTCGAGCTACCCCTTGGTCGACGGACCCCTTCCGTCGACCAAAACTGCTCTGTCGACCTCCCGGTCGAACTGTAGGTCGACGGGATGCTCCCCAGTCCTCCCGGTCGAGTTGCAGTTCAACGGGATGCTCCGTAGACCTCCCCGTCAAACTGTAGGTCGACGGACTGCTTCGTCGACCTCCCGGACGGCCCACCCGTCACACAAACCAGTCAGTTGCAGCTGTCGAGCTCCTTGGTCGACAGCAACACCACAGCGGTCCGCTGCAGCTCGACGTAACCTGTCGAGCAGCTATCCCACTGTGAACGGTCGGCTGCTACTCCCGTGCATCCGACCAAGTCGTCGGCGTTGCCCAAGCGAGGGCGGGGCCAACACTCCATTCCTGTTAACAATTACTGGTACCACCACAATAGCACGACCAGAGGTACGGGGTATCTAGGAGGAACCCTCCGCTAAAAATACATGCAATAACAAATAGGAGTTCCTGGTCTAGTATTAAACAAGCGCGAACGCGACCAAGCAGAGTCTCTGCTAGCTCTAGGCGATGAACATCGCTAGGTGGAACGGGCGAGCAGGAAGAAAACAAGATAAGAACACGGAGAACGAAAATGAGCACCAGAAACCCTTACCGAGAACCTAAGAGGGGGCCGAGGGGGGAAACAAGAAATGGGACTGCGATCAACCTGCGCGTGCCTGTGAACCCGCGCACCACTTTGGACTTGTCAAAAGGGGGAGGTTCCGCTTCATGCACGCTTGTGCACCTTACGTCTGCCACGTTGCACTCCATCCGCCAGCCCCGATCGGGGGTGGTTACCAGCTCTCGCGGGGAGTATTTTCCTCATCGCGTCCGCCGAAATCCGAGGTAACGATCCAGAACACCAAACTTGGTCGCCCGAATAAACTCTGCACTATTTAAGATTATTTAAACGCGCACAAGATGATTTCTCCGGTGTGGTTAAAATTATTTCATGGATCATTTAATGGCGAATGGCGTATACTCCGTACTGTAAATTTAAAATCAACATGTTATACACCGGGGATGATTTTTCGCGAGGCTCTTGCGAGAATTTCAACCCTCGTAAACGACGGGGATTAGCCGGCTCCGTTTCGGGCAGCTCGAAGATCGCTTCGCACGCGCGGATTGGCCTGCGAAAGGAATCGCGAGTGGCCTCCGAAGCAGCCTGCGCTCGGAAAACGGCTCCCATTGGCCGAATCCGTTTCGGCCCGCTCGGATTTCCTTCGCACGCGCGGATTGGCTTGAAGTGCTCCGCGCTCTAGCGCTCTATGGAGCTGTGAGAGTTCGTCACACGCCCTTCCGCCCCGAACAGTGTTCGACCACCGCCCTTGCCCACAGCTCGCATCTTGGTAACAGCGGCGAGTGCGCTGCGCAGCCATGAGCGGCGGCGGCAACGGCAGCAGCGACGGAGGCGGCGGAGGCGGCGGAGGCGGCGCGGTGAGTGGCGAGGCTTGGCGCGGCGTGTGCAACGTGGGGTTCGCCGTGGAGGAGCTGCACGCGATGAGCTCCAACGACCTCATGGCGCTCGTGCAGCACGCGCTGCGCGATGCGCCACGTCGGACGGATAGCTTGCCACGTCAGACAGATAGCTTGCCACGTCAGCACAAACCGCCGGTGGACTTGCCGCCCATTTGCTTGTGGGACAAGCGCAGCGGCGTGAGCACGCATGTAGGCGCCTCGGCCTTGCCCCTCTCTTTCCTTCCCCCATCGCTTCCTTCCACATCCCTTCCGCTCCAACTTCCTCCATGCTTTTCTTGGCGCCTGACTGTCCCCCCCTGGATTCACTACGAACCCCGCTCCCTTCTGTTAAAACCAGGGTCCCACGTAGATCATTTGTTTTGCAGTTGATGCGAAACCCCCGTTTCCCATTGGTTGACGAGGTTGGAAAAACGAAAAGGGGTGCAGCGAGGGATGCGAAGGGAACAAAATCGTTTGCTGTGATCCAAACCTTCTAGGTATGGAAACAGGTTCGGAGCCGAAGCTAGAGTGCCAGTGAAATGTCAAGAGTTGTCGAAAGTCTCATGTACCTGAAATTTGTTTTGCAATTGGTGCTGAGGCAAAAGTGGGGGAGTGTCGCACGCCTACTTCCCTAGCCAACCAGTCCGCCTCGCCTAGAAAAACAAGGTAACTCAGTCTCAAATGTTTTGCAGTTGATGGCAGAATCTCTTACTTGAGACCCTGGTTTTAAGTAGACTGAAAAGTCATTCTTTAGGTTCTTTTCCCACCCCACTCCATTCTCTCGTGCCTTCCTTGCACGCTTGTCCATATGCACATGTGTGTGCATGCTTGCGGGCAAGTCATCTGTACCTGAGCTCATTATTGCATGTGTGAGTGCCACATACTTGTGTGGATATGATCGGGTGCGGGTGCATGCATGCACATACGGTTGCACGTGTGAATTCACCCATGCGCATGTGATCACATGGGATGGGATGGCTTGTACGCGTGCATGTGCAATCGACCCATGTGTGCGTGGATTGGAATGCATGCGTGGATTGGAATGCATGCGTGGATTGGTGGAATGCATGCGTGGATTGGTGGAATGCATGCGTGGATTGGAATGCATGCGTGGATTGGTGGAATGCATGCGTGGATTGGAATGCATGCGTGGATTGGAATGCATGCGTGGATTGGAATGCATGCGTGGATTGGAATGCATGCGTGGATTGGTGGAATGCATGCGTGGATTGGAATGCATGCGTGGACTAAAATGCATGCGTGCAATCCATGGGCATGCATGCCGTCATGCCATCATGAGAGCACACACATCAGGTGGATCTGCCTCTCCTCGCAGCATCACTGCCTCTCCACCTCCTCTCCTGCGCTGCCCTCGCCCTGCAACACACTCACTCGCCCGATCCTCCTCCCCCCAACGTCCCGGCACACACTCCCCCGTCTCCTTGTCCCGCCGCCAGCCCTCCCTGCCACTCTCACGGCGACCTCCCTCAGGCCAAGCGGGCGTGGCTGGAGGGGGCGGAAGGGGGGCGTGGAGAGGTGGTGGCCCAGGGCGGGGAGGCAGGCGGGATGGGTGGAGGCGGGATTGGGGGAGGAGGGATGGGGGGAAGGGGGATGGGGAGTGCAGAAGTGGGAGAAGGGAAGACAGAAGGGCGTGTGATGGGAGGGGCGAGAGTCAGACACGGGGGAGAGGCAATGGTGGAGGCACGCAGTAAGCAGGAGGAGCCGTGCAGTCGGACTCAGGGTGGGGAGCGTGCGTGGAGGCAGGCACAGGGCGAGGGGAGTGCTGTGGGTGAAGGGAATGCAGCAGGTCGTGTGATGGGAGGGGCGAGAGAAGAGACAGTGGAGGCGGAGAGTAAGCAGGGGCGAGCAGGCGAGGGTGAGAGAGAGGGGAAGGAGGAACCGTGCAGTCGGACCGAGGGTGGGGAGGCGTGCGCGCAGAGGCAGCCCAAGCAAGCGAGTGATGTATCTACTGCTGGTGCTGGTGGTGTTGGTGGTGGTGCTGCCAGAGATGTAACAGCAGTTGCTCTTGCTTCTGCTGCAGCTCTTAGAGATGTAACCGTACTTTCTTCTCCTCCTCTTAAAGGTGTACGTGTTGCGGCTTTTATGTCTGGGGAGAGATCCATTTCTGCAATGACGGGTGCTGAAGATATTGCAGTGCCTGCTGCTGCTACCCATGATGTGACAGGAGATGATGCTGCCAACGATGAAACGGGGGGTGGTGCTGCCAAAGATGAAACGGGAGGTGGTGCTTCCAAAGATGAAACGGGAGGTGGTGGTGCTGCTGTAAAAGATGTAATAACAGTTGCTGCTGCCAAAGAAGTAACAGCTGCTGCTACTGGAGCTGCAACAGCGGAACCTTCTGCCGTGCTTTGTGCTAACACAGACACCACCGCTCACACCACTGCCACAACCCCCACTGCCACAACCCCTACTGCCACAGCCCCTATTGCTACAGCCCATACTGCTACAGCCCCCACTGCGACAGCCCCCACCCCCACTGCTGCAGCCCCCCCTGCTACAGCCTCCCCATCTCGTCGTCCCCCAAGCATGCCTGCCTCCCCTTCTCTCCCCCCTCAATCTAGCCCCTCCCCCTCACCCACGCACCTCACCCAACCATCCGCACCGCAACCAACCGTACCCCAGCCGCAGTCATCCCCCCCCCAACCAACCGCTCCCCACATTAAGCAACCCAGCAGCGGCTCCTCCCAGCCTCCTGAGTGCGGCAGCGCCCCCCTGGCAGTGACCATCCGGCATGGGGCGAGGGTGGCGAGAGTGGCGTGGTGGGCGCAGCAGCAGGGCGGGCACACGCGTGTGGCAGGCACTGGTGGTGGTGAGGTGCGTCAAGGGGATGTTGGGGGGAGAGACTGCGATGGCAGTGGAGAGAAGGGGAGAGAGGGTGGGGGTGGCGTGGGGAGTGTTGAGGGTGAGATAGGTGGGAAGCAGGAAGGGGGAGGGGGTGATGAAGGGGGTGAGAGGCAGGTTATCGAATCAGGTGTGCAGAGCGGGGGTGGAGAGGGGAGGGGAGGTGAGGAGGAGGGGGGGGGTGGGCTGGAGGGAGGGGCGAGGGAGAGGATGGGAGGGAATGTGGAAGCAGACACAGGCGAGGAGAGGCAGTCACAGGAGGGTGTGGAGGTGGAGGGGAGGGGTGTTGACGGGTTCAGTGGTGTGACTGTAAAAGACAGTGTTTTCACCATCAGCAGCAACAGCACGGAAACAGTGGGGTGGCTTCTTAGACACATGGAGCATGAGGGGGGAGCAAATGGAGGAGGGGGGGTTGAAGGCGGGGAGGAGGGAGAGAGGAGAGGCGAGAAGAGAAGGTGTGGATTAGAGACAGGTGAGGGAGGGGAGCAGAAGAGTGGGAAGACAAGTAGAGTTGATGAGCGGGGGAATAAAAAGGAAGGCAAGAGAGAGGAGGGCTATGGGGTGACTGCAAGGGAGCAGTGTGGGTTGGCATCTGAAGGAGGGCGGGCAGGCGAGGGGGGCGGGGAGGTGTGGTTGGTGCATGTGGCCAAGGGGGTGCGCCTGCTGCACTCGCTGTGCGACCTCGCTACCCACATGCCCCGCCTGCACCAGGTGAGTGTGTGTGAGGGGGGGGGGGGGGGGGAGGGAGGGGGGGGGGGAGGGGGAGGGGAAAGAGGGGGGTGTGTGGTGGTTGTTTGTGCTTGTGTGTGTGTGTGGGTGTGTGGGCACACGCGCACTGGACATTTCAATTCTAGTGCAGTGTTAGCCTGCAAAAGCGAGAAGCCCGTTGCTTGGCGAGTTGACTGCACTCAGTGCGCTGTCGTGCACTGCTGCATGGTGTGGTGGCATGGCATGGTATGATGGGCCATCTAAACCCTGCCTGCTTCCTGCTCACCCTCACCTCACCTCCGTGTGCCCCTCTCGTGCCCGTGATTCCCCGTCCGTACCCTCACATCACCCATGGCCCACAACCCCTCAGGTTCTCCTGGTGAGCACGAGTGTGCGGCGTCACATGCTAGATCTGGTTGTGCTGCTCACCGTCGCCCTCGCTGCTCCACACCAGGTGGGTAGGTACCAGCCACTTGACACACAATGCCCGTGCTGCTCCCTCTCTCATGCCACCTTGTGAGAGACGCTACCACATCCCTGTCCTACCCTTTTCTTGCTCTGCCACCCATCGTCTCCCTCTTTCTGCTCTCTCTACTGTGCTGCTCCTATGCCAAGCACAACGGTCACCCACCTGTGGGCTTGTTTGCGCGGTCGGCTAGTGCACCCACACCACACCACACCCCACCCCAGTTACGACTGTGGTTGTAACTTGTATGCATGTCATAGTGTATTTCATCAAATAAAAAAAGCACCACATGACATCGCTTCTGAGAACATTGCCATTGCCATGCCCCACAGCCGCAGCCGTAGCCCTTCCCTGTCAGTGGAGCAGTGGAGCCCCACACCGTTGGCTCCACGGCTCCTCCAATCATTGGAGTCCAATGTAGCCCCACGCCTCTCCCTGCTCCCTTTTCGTCCCGAGCGTTGCTTCCCATTCCACCGCTCTCTTGCCACTCTGCTGTTCTTCTGTCCATGCTGCCTGTAAGGCTGCAAGTCACCCCACCGTGCCACGCTGTGACAGCCTCCCCTTCCCTCCCAAGCTCTCATTTGCGAGTGCCGCGTCGACGCGCTCACTCCACGTGTTCGCACGCTCTCACGGACGTTGCCATCTTCCCGTTCCCCCCGGCAGCACCTCATTGGAAAGAGCAGGGGCGGCGAAGGGTATAGTGGCGATGGCAGTGGTGGTGGCAGCGGCAGGGACGGGTATGGTGGTGCACGGCGGGGCAGCAGCAGAGAAGGTGACGGGTATGGAAAGGAGGGTGGCAGCAGGGCGGATGCAGCAGCAGTAGGAGCAGCAGGCATGGGAGTATGGGGGTGCGAGCAGGCACAGGCGGCAGGCTGTTTTTGTGCTGCCACGAGTGCTGGTGGTGGTGGTGGTGTTGCTGATGGTGCTGTTAGTGCTAATACCCACAGGGTTGCTCCGGATGGTAGTGGAGGGCAGGGGGTTGATGGCGCAGGTGGTGCAGCAAGGGAAGGCGAAGCAGGCACCGGCAGCACGTGTGGGGCGGGCACTGGGGGGGATGCAGAGAATAGCATGGCGGTTGTGGGTGGCAGTTGTGGCACGCAGGAGGCAAAAGGGGTGGATGCAGTGACGAGTGTAGGTGGTAAAGCAAGGGCAGGTGAGGCAGCGAGGGCAGGTGAGGCAGCGAGGGCAGGTGAGGCAGCGAGGGCAGATGGTGCAGCAGGCAAGGGTGATGAGGCATGCACGATGGGGGGGAAGGCGGGAAGGGAGAACGTTGGAAATAGGGAGGCAGCATCGGGAGATGCAGCAATTAAAAATGCAGCAGTGGGGGAGGCGGCAGTGGAGGAGGCGGCAGTGGAGGAGGCGGCGGTGGGGGGAGCAGCACTGTATGCGGGAACGGTGGCGTCATGCCTGTACCTGCTGCCCGCCTTCGTCACCCCCGACTGGATCGACACTTGCTCCGTGCTCTCCCTGCACCCCTTGGTGAGTTGAAACCTCTTTGAAACCCGTCCCTCCTTCATCCCATCCACCTGTCCCTCCTTCCCACCAGTCCACCCATCGATCCTCCCACCCATCCCCATCCCTCCTCCTCCCCATACACCTACCCATCCCTCCTCCTCCCCATACACCTACCCATCCCTCCTCCTCTCCATACACCTACCCATCCCTCCTCCTCCCCATACACCTACCCATCCCTCCTCCTCCCCATACACCTACCCATCCCTCCTCCTCCCCATACACCTACCCATCCCTCCTCCTCCCCATACACCTACCCATCCCTCCTCCTCCCCATACACCTACCCATCCCTCCTCCTCCCCATACACCTACCCATTCCTCCTCCTCCCCATACACCTACCCATCCCTCCTCCTCCCCATACACCTACCCATCCCTCCTCCTCCCCATACACCTACCCATCCCTCCTCCTCCCCATGCGCCTACCCATCCCGCCCAGGTGGGGGCCTTCCTGCCGGCGGCCTTCTCAGCCGTCACCACCGCCTTCCTCCTGCTGCACTCCCTGCTCTCGCCCCCGCTTGCCGCCTTCACACATGCGGGCAGAGGGGTTGTTGGAAGGAGGGATGGGGGGAGGGATGCAGGCGGGGATGAAGGGAGGGCATGGCAAGGTGTGGAGTGGGGGTCGGTGCAGGGGGTGGTGCGGCAGTGCGAGGCGGCTCTGCAGGTGCTGCACGTGCTGTGCCGCGCTGATGGGCTGGGCGCCCTGCTGCTGCACCACCAGGTGCGTGTGTGGGTTTGCCAGTAGGTGCGCAGCTGCGCAGTGGTACCAGGGGGGGGCGGTCAGAAGCCATCAATAAGCTCCCAATCTCGCCCACACATGCGCAATGTGCTCACTCCGTGTCGGTTGATTTGCGCCATGTGCACATGGCTTGCTGTGCCCATGCACATGGCTTGCTGTGCCCATGCACATGGCTTGCTGTGCCCATGCACATGGCTTGCTGTGCCCATGCAACCCAACTTTGGGCCCACCACCACATTTTCCCCTACGTGCACTCATCCTGAAACCACCACATTTTCCCCCTATCCATCTGCTCCCCTCTCCTTTCCTCCCCTCCTTTCCCTCGTCAGGACCTCATCCAAGGCGGGGCTGTCCTCCGCCTGCTCCTCTCTGTCCTCCGCTTGCCCCTCCCCGCCCTCCTCCCTCCGCCTCTCCCTCCTCTCCCCTGCCCGCCGTCCAACCCCACTCATCCCTCCATCTCGTCTCCCCTTCCCTCCGCCTCCCCATGCGATGGCCCGTCACGCCAAGCCGTGCCGCCAGAGGCCCTGGTGGCGGCCATTTCTCGCTGCAAGAGCCGAGCCATTCAGATGGTCTGTGTCGTGCTGCCGCTGCGGTTGACTGTGCTGTGAATCTTGGGGTGCTGTTTGGTGAATCTTGGGGTGCTGTTTGGTGAATCTTGGGGTGCTGTTTGGTGAATCTTGGGGTGCTGTTTGGTGAATCTTGGGGTGCTGTTTGGTGAATCTTGGGGTGCTGTTTGGTGAATCTTGGGGTGCTGTTTGGTGAATCTTGGGGTGCTGTTTGGTGAATCTTGGGGTGCTGTTTGGTGAATCTTGGGGTGCTGTTTGGTGAATCTTGGGGTGCTGTTTGGTGAATCTTGGGGTGCTGTTTGGTGAATCTTGGGGTGCTGTTTGGTGAATCTTGGGGTGCTGTTTGGTGAATCTTGGGGTGCTGTTCGGAGAATCTTGGGGTGCTGTTCGGTGAATCTTGGGGTGCTGTTTGGTGAATCTTGGGGTGCTGTTTGGTGAATCTTGGGGTGCTGTTTGGTGAATCTTGGGGTGCTGTTTGGTGAATCTTGGGGTGCTGTTTGGTGAATCTTGGGGTGCTGTTTGGTGAATCTTGGGGTGCTGTTCGGTGAATCTTGGGGTGCTGTTTGGTGAATCTTGGGGTGCTGTTTGGTGAATCTTGGGGTGCTGTTTGGTGAATCTTGGGGTGCTGTTTGGTGAATCTTGGGGTGCTGTTTGGTGAATCTTGGGGTGCTGTTTGGTGAATCTTGGGGTGCTGTTTGGTGAATCTTGGGGTGCTGTGTGGTGATTCCACTCCGCAGGTTCTCTTCTCTTTCCATCTTAGAAGTTCGAGGCGCACTCATGTTCATTGACTTTTAGTTTTGAGGCGCCTCAAAACCGCACTCATGTTCATTGACTTTTAGTTTTGAGGCGCCTCAAAACCGCACTCATGTTCATTGACTTTTAGTTTTGAGGCGCCTCAAAACCGCACTCATGTTCATTGACTTTTAGTTTTGAGGCGCCTCAAAACCGCACTCATGTTCATTGAATTTTCTGTCGAAACCATGCCTTCCTGCGTCCCTCACTTCCTCCCGTCTCCCCTCATGTCACATTCCTCACTCCCTCCTTCACTCCCTCCCTCACTCATTCCCCTCCGCCCATGGCAGTTCCTCACAGTCAGTGAGGCGGACGGCTCCACCTTTCTGGATGACGTGGCAGCCAATCCAGCCTCGTTACAGCTGGCGCACAGTGTAACAAAAGAGGTATCGTGCTTGTCACTCTGTCTGTTCACAAGAGAGCACAGCTCTGTTCGCTGCTTTCATGCTTCAACCATTGTTTGCCTGCCTGTACCACTCTCAGATGCTTCATTCATGCACGTGCCCTCCATCCCACGCGACTCACCTGCATCTTCTGCATTCTCTTCCCAAACACTCCTCAAACCGCCCCAACACCCGTGCCCACTCCCTCCCCCCAGATCCTCTCTCTCCTGCACGCCACTGCCATCGCCAACGTTCACCTCACAGCCCGCCTCCTCTCCCGCCACACGCCCTCCTCCTCCTCTGCCTCCTTCCCCCCACCACACGCGCCTCTCCCCTGGGGGCGGCTGAGTGTGAACGTGCTGCGGGCGGCGGAGGTGCTTTCAGACGACTCCAGCTTCCGCCCCTTCTTCATGCTGCATGCCGTGCGTTGCCATGCTCACCTGCCACCTTATTCCCATGCTACCCCTCACTCACTCACATTCCCATGCCTTGTGCACTGCACTGCACTGGACACCTAAGCCTTTCACCTGTAGCCCTGTGTGTGTCTTTGCTTCACGCCATGCTTCACGCCATGCTTCACGCCATGCTTCACGCCATGCTTCACGCCATGCTTCACGCCATGCTTTCACTCTTGAGGAATTCTAATGCAAGCAGTTCCACTCCCAGACTCTGCCTGTGCTCCACTCCCAGACTCTGCCTGTGCTCCACTCCCAGACTCTGCCTGTGCTCCACTCCCAGACTCTGCCTGTGCTCCACTCCCAGACTCTGCCTGTGCTCCACTCCCAGACTCTGCCTGTGCTCCACTCCCAGACTCTGCCTGTGCTCCACTCCCAGACTCTGCCTGTGCTCCACTCCCAGACTCTGCCTGTGCTCCACTCCCAGACTCTGCCTGTGCTCCACTCCCAGACTCTGCCTGTGCTCCACTCCCAGACTCTGCCTGTGCTCCACTCCCAGACTCTGCCTGTGCTCCACTCCCAGACTCTGCCTGTGCTCCACTCCCAGACTCTGCCTGTGCTCCACTCCCAGACTCTGCCTGTGCTCCACTCCCAGACTCTGCCTGTGCTCCACTCCCAGACTCTGCCTGTGCTCCACTCCCAGACTCTGCCTGTGCTCCACTCCCAGACTCTGCCTGTGCTCCACTCCCAGACTCTGCCTGTGCTCCACTCCCAGACTCTGCCTGTGCTCCACTCCCAGACTCTGCCTGTGCTCCACTCCCAGACTCTGCCTGTGCTCCACTCCCAGACTCTGCCTGTGCTCCACTCCCAGACTCTGCCTGTGCTCCACTCCCAGACTCTGCCTGTGCTCCACTCCCAGACTCTGCCTGTGCTCCACTCCCAGACTCTGCCTGTGCTCCACTCCCAGACTCTGCCTGTGCTCCACTCCCAGACTCTGCCTGTGCTCCACTCCCAGACTCTGCCTGTGCTCCACTCCCAGACTCTGCCTGTGCTCCACTCCCAGACTCTGCCTGTGCTCCACTCCCAGACTCTGCCTGTGCTCCACTCCCAGACTCTGCCTGTGCTCCACTCCCAGACTCTGCCTGTGCTCCACTCCCAGACTCTGCCTGTGCTCCACTCCCAGACTCTGCCTGTGCTCCACTCCCAGACTCTGCCTGTGCTCCACTCCCAGACTCTGCCTGTGCTCCACTCCCAGACTCTGCCTGTGCTCCACTCCCAGACTCTGCCTGTGCTCCACTCCCAGACTCTGCCTGTGCTCCACTCCCAGACTCTGCCTGTGCTCCACTCCCAGACTCTGCCTGTGCTCCACTCCCAGACTCTGCCTGTGCTCCACTCCCAGACTCTGCCTGTGCTCCACTCCCAGACTCTGCCTGTGCTCCACTCCCAGACTCTGCCTGTGCTCCACTCCCAGACTCTGCCTGTGCTCCACTCCCAGACTCTGCCTGTGTTCCACTTCACACGTTCCCATGCTCACATGCGTGCATGTGCGTGCACACCCTAGCAAATGTGCTGTGAGTGGCTCAGCAGCTGCAACACTAAGCAAACTCCTCTGTGAGTTCTGCTTTTCACCCCATCACTTCTCACTGCCAGCCTAGCACTGGCAGCACACGCTTTATTCAGTCTCATTGCTGTGCATGTCCCTTTCTCTTGCACCTCCCTCCACCACTTGCCTCTCCTTTCCTCCGCCTCTCTCACCTTTCTAGTCGCCCATATCTCAGCGCTGGCTGCACGGCCTGCTCTCATGCCCTATGCACACCGCATATATTCTCTCCCTCTCTGCATTTCTCTCTCTGCTCCTCTTGAACCACATCTCCCCTCCAGGCGCCTCTTCTTGTGCATCTGCTCGCCCTCCCGTCGCCTGCCTTTGCCTCACGCTGGCTATACGGCCCGCTCACGCGGGCCCTTGTGGCCCGAGAGGCCGACGCCTTCGTCCTCTTCCGCCCCTTCCCTTCGCTCGGCCTCGCCCTCCATCTCACCCACTCACGCTCACACTCCCTCAACTGCTGCTCCTCACCCTTGCACCGCACCTGTGCTGTCGCTCCTGCTGTGCCCGGCCATGGGGAGGAGAATAGGAAGGGGGGTGAAGGGGCGGGGAGTGGCAAATGTGGGTTGAGCGGTGTGGAGGATTCGACAGAGACGCTTTCTTCTGGCCCATTCTCGTTTTCTGAGGGAGGGCTTGTGGCTGTAACGAGGGCTGCTTATAAGGAGGCAGCTGGGTCGAAAAGCCGCAGTGGCAGCAGGGGCAGTAGAGAAAGGGGGGTTGGTCCACGAGATGGCAGAAGTGTTGGGAAGCTTCGAGGAAACTTTCAGTTTTGCCGAGTTGATGAACAGATGGTGGGAAGGAAGAGAAAGAAGGAGAGTGAGAAAAGGAAGCGAGGGAGTGATGAAGGCAAGGAAGAGAGTGACTGGGCGGAGGGGGTGATATGGTTGGAGGGAGGGGAGGGTGGGGTAGCAGCAGAGGCAGACGGGGTGGGTGGGTGGGCGTGGAATGGGAGAGCAGCGAAGGCGCAGGGAGGAGGGAGGAGTGGGGTGGGAAGGGGAGGGGGGGAAGAGGGTGGAGGTGCGGTTGGAGGTGCCGGGGGCGAGGGCGGGGTGGGGAGTGGGTGGCAGAGTGTGGTGCTGCTGGTGAAGCTGTTCGCCAATCTGCACTGCTTTGACCCCAACCTCTGCCCTGGTGCGCTGCTCTGCTGCCCCCTCGGCCCTGCTGTCCTTGCTTGCTAATTTCGCCTGTCTGTAGAATCAGGATGCTGGTTCCTGCTGCTTTGCACCCCGCCTTCCCCTCAACACAAATGTCCATTTCCGCCTGGCCTCACCGCAACATGTGCATCCACAACTCTCTCCTCTCTACTGTGTTGCTCATGTGTGGAAGCATATATACGCGAAAGAGTGCGTGCTATTCCATACGTACCTCCCCCCACCCCTCGACGTCCCCCCCACCCCACCAGGCGAGCAGCGCCACCAGTTCCTCAACCTCGTTGTCTCTGCCATCCGCCACCAGGAACCTTTCTCGCCCGCACCTGGGGAGGGCGCAGCTGGAGAGGGCGCAGCTGGGGAGGGCGCAGCTGGGGAGGGCGCAGCTGGGGAGGGCGCAGCTGGGGAGGGCGCAGCTGGGGAGGGTGCACCGCATGGGGGCGGCAGCGACGTGGTGGCGGAAAGGGAGGGGCAGAGGGGGCGAGCAGAGGCAGAGGCGGCAGTGGGCTTGTGCGAGAACTTGTGTGAGTCACGGCATGGCATGGCATGGCATGGTGCTGCTGGTGCGGTGGTAACAAAGGGGTTTGGGAGGAAACATGTCATGGTCCATGGGTGTGGGAGGAAACATGTCATGGTCCATGGGTGTGGGAGGAAACATGTCATGGTCCATGGGTGTGGGAGGAAACATGTCATGGTCCATGGGTGTGGAAGGGTCGTGCTTGACTCATGTCATGCGGTTGGGGGTCATACCTGTGGTTCATGGGGTTAGTTGGGGTTGGGTTGAGTCAGGTGCAGGTGTCAAATGTATGTGCGAATGCGTGGCAGCTACTTCTAACACCCACGAGGGGAATGCGGTGCGGAGTGGTGTTTTTGGTTTGAGGGGGAAGTTAGCATGAGGTAAGGGAGGGGATGGAGGGAGGAGAGACGGCACCTGGAGAGTTGAAACATGGGTGTGCAGCATGAGGATCAGATGAGGTGTGTGAGGAGCAGTGCTTTCTTTCGACCATCTCTCTTGCACATCGATCCCATGTCCTGCAAGCCTTTGTCTCGCCTCTCCCTGCGGTCCAAAACCCCCATCCTTCCGCCCCTTCCTCCGCATCCACTCTTACTCTTCTCACAATCCCTTCTTTTACGTCCTCTATCCCATCCCCCGCCCACTCTTTCCGGCCACAACCCCTCCCTGCCCCTGTCCATGCCTCCATCCATCCATGCTTGCCCCCTATGCCCCCCTGCATCCCCCCCTCAGATTCACTCATAGACTTCGCTGCCACCATGCCCGTAACCCATGTCAGCGATGATGACGTGATCCTCATCAGGTGCTGATGCCATCGTATGCAGTGGGTGCATCTGCTGCTGACACCCTAGCCCTTCAGCGCTATTTTTACATGTCACAGGCCATGCATATCTTTACATGTCACAGGCCATCCATTTGACTTTTGAGGGTTCTCAGCGCTAACTTTACATGTCACAGGCCATGCATTTTCGCTCATACCAGTAACTAATGTCACAGGATCTTCTATTGTTTCTGGTTGACTGGCTGGTGCCAGTGCTGTGCTGTGCTGTGTGCTGTGCCGTGCTGTGTGCTTTGCTGTGCTGTGCTGTGCTGTGCTGTGCTGTGCCGTGCCGTGCGGTGCTGTGCTGCGCTGTGCTGTGCTGTGCTGCGCTGTGCTGCGCTGTGCTGTGCTGTGCTGTGCTGCGCTGTGCTGTGCTGCGCTGTGCTGTGCTGTGCTGCGCTGTGCTGCGCTGCGCTGTGCTGCGCTGCGCTGTGCTGCGCTGTGCTGTGCTGTGCTGTGCTGCGCTGCGCTGTGCTGTGCTGTGCTGCGCTGTGCTGTGCTGTGCTGCGCTGCGCTGTGCTGTGCTGCGCTGTGCTGTGCTGTGCTGTGCTGTGCTGTGCTGCGCTGTGCTGTGCTGTGCTGTGCTGTGCTGTGCTGTGCTCTGCTGTGCTGTGCTGCGCTGTGCTGTGCTGTGCTGTGCTGTATGTGGGGCTACTTGTGCTGCCGGTGTGGTGTGAGCTTGTGCTGCCGGTGTGGTGAGGTACATGTGCGCGCATGCTCATGCGTGTGGCCGTCTGGTGTGCGTGCTTCCGCCTCCCACCACTCAAGCCATCACCATGCGTCACTCCGCCGTCCTCCCTCTCCCCACTCTCTTCTCCCTTGCCGCAGTCAGTTCGCCAGTGCCCTGCACGCTGCCATCTGCCCCCACCCCTCGCCTCACCAGGTGAGCGCCTGCGCTGCTGGTGAGTGCATGTGCACATGCTATGCATGTCTGCTTGCACATACAGACTCTCAGCACTACACATGCATGGCTGTTGTTGTAGTATGGTTCCTGGATGGTGACACCACAAGGCAGTATGGTTCCTGGATGGTGACACCACAAGGCAGACGCACGCATGCCAGATGAACCACTCCCTTCCCTGCACTCTGTCTTCCGTGCCTTGCACTGCCCACACCCTACCCCCTTCCCCTCCTTCTCCTTCCCCCCCTCCCCCTCCTCACCTTCTCCCGCCCACCTTCTCTTTGTGTGTTTGCTGTCAGCACGAGGATGCAGCAGTGAAAACGGTGGGGGAGCGGCACGGGGCGTGGCTGGCTGCTTTACAGGGGAGGTGGGACGGGCAGGAGCGGTGGCAGCGACTGCAGCCGGCACATGAGGAGGATGATGGCGGGGATGGGGGTGTGGAAGAGGCATAATGGGGATATGAGGCGGGTGTGCTGGCAGCAGCGCATGGTGCGGTGCGTGGTTGGGTACGCTGCAGGGAAGGAGGGACAGGCAGGAGCGGTAGCAGCGACTGCAGCGGCACGTGGGGAGGAGGGTGATGAGGGTGGGGAAGAAGAGGCATGAATGGTGAGGTGGAGGAGAGGCATGACATGGGATCGCTGTACTTGCTGCAACACATGATAGGCGTGGCTGGTGGTGCAAATGGGTGAGGGCGAGGCAGGCTGAGAGGACCAGAGTGTGAAAGCTAGGTGGGAGGGATTCAGAGTGAATGCAGAGGAAGGAATGGAAGGGCCAGTGCTGTAAGTGCTGTTATTAGTAAACAGGTGGGCTGCGGAGGTCTGACGTCCATCAACTTGGATGTTATTAAGACGGAAAAACAAACTCCATGAGATGAAAGTGGGAAGCCTGGTTTAAGCTTGTATGCTAGATCGTATTTTAGTAAGCCAGTTTGAACGAAAATGGAATCTTAAAATCAGAACTTGAGTAAACTAGTTTCGGCTCTTGCGAGCCTTCATCAGTACAAACAAGCCTGAGAATAAGAGACGGTAATGAACAAACTAGCTGAAATACTCTACGATCAGGCTGAGCTAACCAGGCGGATGGATGAAGATGTCGAGGCGGAAATGGAGTGAGATCTCGAGGTGAGTCCAGGACTCTGACCCAAATCTTCGGAACTCTGTTGGAATGTTCGCGAAAGTTGGTAACCAGGGCCGAGAAGTCGAGAAGGTGGTAACACCACCTTTGTCGCTCGGAAAGGTTCAAGCTGCTGCGACAGGTTGGAGCCTCGATTGAATCAGTCTTCGTTTTAAACGGGAAGGCAGCTTCCACGCTAGCAGAAATCTACAGGAACCAGAAAGAATGAAGCCACGTGAAAGAAGGAGTGTTTTGAGACGTCTCAAAACGAACCCAAGGGGTAGACTTTTACTGTAAGGAGTATAATTAGTCTTAAGCACCAAGGGTCCGTGAGGTCTCAATTCTGGTCCCGTAGTAGATCGAAGCTGCTGTCGTCGTAGAGCTTGTAGTAAGAGTTCATCGCGTTGACTGAAAGTGATGGCCGTAAAGAGAGGTAGCAGGAAATGATGCGGGTATCCCCTGGAGCGTAGCCTTTTGAAAAAAGCCCGCTTCATGCTGCAGAAATCGTCGAAACTGGAGCTTCTGAGCAGGTAGCGTTTTAGCTCGGAGCGGATAAAACCTTCCTTACAGTGCCGTGGATGGAATGATGAGAATGGAAGGTAGAGGTACGTGTTGTTGGGTTTCTGGAATGTAGAGATGTCCAGTAGGCCTGAGCAGTTGAAACGCTGTCCTCTATGGATGACTAAATCCAGGAAATCAAATGAAGTCTCGGAAATCGTCCATGTAAGCTTGATTGTAGGTCGGAGCGAATTGAAGGCTGCTAAGAAATCCTCTAATCCTTCTTGACTCCCTCCCCAGCAGATGAAACCATCATCAATGTAGCGGAGATGGAGAAGAGGGACGTTTGGACCCATGCGAGCGCGGAGTGTTTCGTCCAACCGACTCATGTAGAGGATGGCGAAGCAAACTGCGATTGAGGTTCCCATCGCGGTCCCCTGGATCTGCCGAAAAATCCTACCATCGAAATCCACGTAAGAGTTAAACATCACCCATTCCAACAAAGCCACGATGACTGGTGCATTAGGGAAACGAAGTGGATCTCGCTCCAGAAAGGAACGGACTACGTCGACTCCTTCTCGTAGCGGAATAGAAGGATAGAGTGCTTGGACATCGTACGTGGCGAGTAGTAACTTCCTCGGCATAGGCGTTTTTTCCAGGTGAAGAAGCAAAGAGAGTGAGTCTCTCAGGTATGTCGGTTGTTGGAGAACTAACGGGCGGAGTGCAGAGTCTAGCCAGCGACGGACGTTCGCGGTAACCCAGGAATGGGAAGCTGCTATCGGTCGTCCGACAGGGATCTTCTTGTGTACTTTCATGATGACATAGAAGATGGCCGGCTTCCAGCCGTTTGTCGGAAGGTGAGCAAAATAAGTCCACAAATATCTAGGGAGTAAAGGTCCAAGGTTAGCACGGATATCAACCAACTTAGCAAAAACCGAAGACCGTGGATCTTCAAAATCTGCTGCAGCTGTGTCAATTTCAATGTAAGTGCTTCTGTCCAGGAGATGATTTAGGCACTCTTGAATGTAGGCCGTACGGTCCATCAAGGTAATCCCCATGTTCTTGTCGGCTTGTTTGATGATGAGGTTTGAATTGGAGGCGAGTCCGCGGATGGCTTTATAATACCCCTTAGGAAGGTAAGGCCCTTTACGGATAGGTGTCTGAGATAGCAGGCAGGATAAATCCTTTCTGGTTTCTTCGAAAACTGCTTCCAGCTTCTCATCCTCTTCAGGCATCCAACCGGGATTACTAACTCGAAAACGACTGTCAGTACGTCCTGTTCCTTTAAAGAATTCTTGTAGCTTTATAGACCTGAACAGATTGGAAAAATCGTTAAAGATTTCAGAAGGAGAAAACGGCTGCGCATGAGGTAAGACAAACTTGAGTCCCAGCCCTAGAACACTTCGTTCAGCAGGTGTCAGGGTGTGGGAGCTCAAATTAAACACTCCGTGGTTGATGATCCGGATCTTAGCCTGAGACTCGGTTAATCGCCCGAACCAGCGGAGTGCTAACTCCTTGCTTGTTAGCTGCGCTGGCCCCTTGCGGGGCCTCCTCCGTTTTTTGGTTTGTACCACCTTTTCTTCTTCTTCTTTTCCCCTTTGTCCTCTGCTGTAGCAGGTGCTTGGGGTTGCTGCTGCGGCTGCTGTTGCTGCTGCTGCTGCTGCTGCTGCTGCTGCTGCTGCTGGGTCTGCTGCTTCTTCTGCTGCTGTCCCTGCGGCTGTTGATGCTGCTGCTGTAGCTGCTGCTGTGGCTGCTTCCCTTTAGCTGATGACTGATTCTGCAACTCAAGTTTTTCAAGCCGTTTAAGCACTGCGGAAAGTTTGGAGTCAACAACATCCTTAGCAACTTCCCTCATGCTAGGCTCTGTCTCCATATTCTGAAGTTGTTCTTGAGCTGCCTTCTTAACCATCTCTGCTTCATTCTTGAGTCGCTGATTCTCATGAAATTCCATGAATGCCTTGGTCTGCTGAATCTCGACAGCGGCAATAGCTTCTTGGATGAGCTTCCCTTTGAAGAATTCCATGACTTCGATAGCTTTATTTCGTCTGGAATCTTCTTCCATAGCTTTAATGCTGTTAATATAACTGGAAATTAATCCATCCAGAAGAGAAACAGCACCATTGGCCTCATTAAAAGCGGTAGTCATTAACTCCTCCTTGGCTTCAATGAAGACTTTCTGTTGCTCTAGAAGAGCATCATTGTGCAGAGAGGAGATCTTATCATCAGCGGCCTTCTTAATAGCCTCATTGGTGGTCTGAAACTGAACGGCTTTGGTTCTGATGCTGTGCAGCAACTCCTTTCTGCCGTCAATTAACTTCATTTTAGCGACCTGTTGCTTGAGGCTGAGATATGTAGCATTGGACTTGATAGCTTTCGAAATAGCTTCTTGTTGCCGTTTTTTAAAAGGAGTTGGACATAGATCATTTCCAAAACAGAGCCCTTGATCTTGAAGCATAGGACCTGTATCTTGTCTATTTCCTTCTGGCGAAAAAGCCGCTTCAAGTGTATGTTGGGAGATGTTAACTCCCTCGATCACATTGACACCTGCATCGTCTGCGTTAGTAGCCATTGCCGGTGACGCGGAAGCTATTATTCTTGGTGTTTTAAATGCTTGTCGGCGTAATGTCTTGGGATGAGCGGTTCGATATGGAATTGGAGTAAACTCAAGCTTTCCGTTTTCCAGCTGAAGGGAATTGTCAGATTCCTCACGCTGACGCTTGGTAGCGCGAAAGACGAAAAAGCGGGAGGCCTCCTGAAAGGCCTCTGAGTCGGATGAATCGTCGTCGGAAGAAGGAGAGCCTCTGGCCACAACCGTATCACTCGATGCAGGTGCTGTTATTAGTAAACAGGTGGGCTGCGGAGGTCTGACGTCCATCAACTTGGATGTTATTAAGACGGCGAAACAAACTCCATGAGATGAAAGTGGGAAGCCTGGTTTAAGCTTGTATGCTAGATCGTAATTTAGTAAGCCAGTTTGAACGAAAACGGAATCTTAAAATCAGAACTTGAGTAAACTAGTTTCGGCTCTTGCGAGCCTTCATCAGTACAAACAAGCCTGAGAATAAGAGACGGTAATGAACAAACTAGCTGAAATACTCTACGATCAGGCTGAGCTAACCAGGCGGATGGATGAAGATGTCGAGGCGGAAATGGAGTGAGATCTCGAGGTGAGTCCAGGACTCTGACCCAAATCTTCGGAACTCTGTTGGAATGTTCGCGAAAGTTGGTAACCAGGGCCGAGAAGTCGAGAAGGTGGTAACACCACCTTTGTCGCTCGGAAAAGTTCAAGCTGCTGCGACAGGTTGGAGCCTCGATTGAATCAGTCTTCGTTTTAAACGGGAAGGCAGCTTCCACGCTAGCAGAAATCTACAGGAACCAGAAAGAATGAAGCCACGTGAAAGAAGGAGTGTTTTGAGACGTCTCAAAAGGGCCAGTGCTGTAAGCCGTGGCTTACAGGCACTCAAAGCCTGCCACCTTTCTCCTCAGTTAGACACTGTAGTTCTGTTCAAATGCTAAGGTTCATCTGCATGTTGGGCTGGGTTTGGAAACAGTCTTATCCCCAGGTGGGCTTGACCCAGATGGTAGAAAGCTGCCCAAGGTTGTATGGCACAAAACTGTACATACATTGAACTGTACATGAACATACGAACGCACCTAGCACACTGCCAGTATCAGATCACCATCTCTGCACTACACCGCAGTGCACCGCGCACGAGTCAAGCTGCGGTGTACTTGAAGTTCCTGAACGTCACCACAAACGGCTGCATGCAGCACAGCGCACACACAGAGGGACCGATCAGTACCCACCTCATGGTACATGCCGCGCAACCAACTGCCCACT